TAATTTTGCCATTAATTGTAATAATGCAGTGAGACTTTAGTCTGACAGCAGCCAGTGCTCCACAGAGATCTGATCTGATCATCATCAGTCCATCTGTGAATACATGAAGAAACAGAGACAGACTCAATCCAGAAGAACTGTGGCAGACGCTTGAAACCGTGCTCATTTTCAGTGGTCAAAAACCAAATGTGCGTCACTTTTGATGTGGGTTTTCGAGCACTGAAAATGTGCATGTAACAATATACTCCTGGAGCCATATTAAATCCCAGTATCTCTGGAACTGAACCATACAGGGCCTTAAAAATGAAGATACCGAAAGAAAAGTTTTTAACAAACTAACATCTAAAAGGATATTAAGATATCTGGCTCTGTATCTCAGTTTTCGTACCTGGGAACAGCAGCACTGTTTACTGAAGCAGGAGGGAAAGGTCAATAAAACTCAACAACATTTTATGAGGAAATACAGTTTTATGTTTGTTCAGCATTGTGCAATATTTGTTCCTGCAGTGACACAGTTAAACTTTACATATGATACACATCATATTAATGTGACTTCATTCAATCGGTATCAAATGTTGTTTAATGATCAATTAACTGCTCAATTTAAAGTACATATGATTCTGGGATAATTCTGAAGAATCTGCTTTTAGAAGTCATAATCCAGTAAATGACACCAGCTTCTGTTTCCAATATTTATTTTCCAAAAAACAACAAATAATTTAAAAGCAGTTTGTACAAAGCTCGAGTACAAAAGCTAATTCAGGACTAATGCTCTTAAAAACATCTGTGATTCGATTATTCTATAAAATCAAGTAAAAATACTCTTTTCATCAAACTTTAAGGTTGATTTGTGTTGAAGGAGTGAAAGTGTGACCTCAGATTGGTGACGATCCGCTCATATGTAACATCTCAGGTTTAATTTACAGAGAAACACACAGACACAGACACAGACACAGACACACACACACACACACACACACACACACAGACAGAGAGAGTTCACGTAAGCTTCAAGGGTCAACAAACGACACCATGATGTATCGTGTTCCTCGAGTGACGGGAAGCCCCTCGTGATAGTGCGTCAGACGGCCCGGATGCATGAACGACCAGCCCTTCCTGGGAGACTCAAAAAAAAAATAAGAAGAGCAATTATTTGAAATAGATATGTTTTGTCACATAAATGTCTTTACTGTCACTTTTCATCAATTTAATCTTTGAAAAACATTTTGAATGATTATGTATCATTTATCACAAAAATACGAAAATATGAATTGATAATAATCAGAAATGTTTGTTGAGCAGCAAATCAGCATATTAGAATGATTTCTGAAGATCATGTGACACTGAAGACTGGAGTAATGATGCTGAAAATACAGCTGCGCATCACAGAAATACATTACAGTTTAACAGATATTAATAGAAAACAGCTGTTTTACATTTAAAATTTAAAATCAAAATGTTGATTAGCCTGAGATTTAACGGACTGTCGTCTCACCTTCGGATAGTATCCTGGGTAGAGTTTCTCCGTCACAGGAACGATGTAGTCTTTGAGGAACTTCAGCCACTCTTTCTCATACTGGATCTGATTCATGTGAATATCGACTGTAGGAACGTTCTCATAACCTCCAGATAACCGTTCATCCTGAGAGAGACACACACATGAGCTGCGGCTTTACACACACACACACACACACAACACACAGAGAGAGACACACACACACACACAGAGAGACGAGTGTATTATGTGTTTATGGGTAGAAACACTCTAATTAACACAACAAAGACAATGGAAAGTTTATTTACCTCATAATCAATGTTTTTTCTGTTGAGCGCGATGTTAACGGTGAACGTGGAAGAATCATGATGCGGACGGAGCGATGGCTGCTCATCAGGACGATAACGAACCACAAAATTCATCACAGCCTGAGCCTGTAACACACACACACACACAGAGACAGACACACACACACACACACACACTCACACACACAGGTTTGTTTATGGGTAGAAACACTCTAATTAACACAACAAAGACAATGGAAAGTTTATTTACCTCATAATCAATGTTTTTTCTGTTGAGCGCGATGTTAACGGTGAACGTGGAAGAATCATGATGCGGACGGAGCGATGGCTGCTCATCAGGACGATAACGAACCACAAAATTCATCACAGCCTGAGCCTGTAACACACACACACACACACACACACACACACACACACAAGTTTGTGTCACTCAGTTATTTTACACTCATTTTCACTAGTGTTCAGTAGTTTGGGATAAATACGATTTAATGTTTTTTAAAGAAGTCTCTTCCGCTCGGCAAGGCTGCATTTATTTGGTCAAAAATACAGTAAAATATTATTAGAATTTAAAACAGCTGTTTTCTATGTGAATACATGTTAAAATGTAATTTATTCATGTGATGCGCAGCTGTATTTTCCGCATCATTACTGCAGTCTTCAGTGTCAGAAATCATTCTAGTATGCTGATTTGAAAGAAGCTCTTATGCTCATCAGGACTATATTTATGCATTTATTTTATCAAAATAACATCAGTTTAATCTTTGAAAAACATTTTGAATGATTATGTATCATTTATCACAAAAATACGAAAATATGAATTGATAATAATCAGAAATGTTTGTTGAGCAGCAAATCAGCATATTAGAATGATTTCTGAAGATCATGTGACACTGAAGACTGGAGTAATGATGCTGAAAATACAGCTGCGCATCACAGAAATACATTACAGTTTAACAGATATTAATAGAAAACAGCTGTTTTACATTTAAAATTTAAAATCAAAATGTTGATTAGCCTGAGATTTAACGGACTGTCGTCTCACCTTCGGATAGTATCCTGGGTAGAGTTTCTCCGTCACAGGAACGATGTAGTCTTTGAGGAACTTCAGCCACTCTTTCTCATACTGGATCTGATTCATGTGAATATCGACTGTAGGAACGTTCTCATAAACGCTCACTCACACTCGCACATTCACACACTCACACACACACTCACACACACTCACGCGCACACACGCTCACTCACACTCGCACATTCACACACTCACTCACACACACACACTCACACACACGCGCACATTCACACACTCACTCACTCTCACACACACACACACACACACACTCTCACAAGGGGTCGACCGATATGTGTTTTTCAAGGCCGATGCCGATACCGATTATTACAGATCAAGTAGACCGATAACCGATATTTTGAACCGATATACTGCCTTCGGATAGTATCCTGGGTAGAGTTTCTCCGTCACAGGAACGATGTAGTCTTTGAGGAACTTCAGCCACTCTTTCTCATACTGGATCTGATTCATGTGAATATCGACTGTAGGAACGTTTTCATAACCTCCAGATAACCGTTCATCCTGAGAAAAACACACATGAGCTGCTGATTTACTCGCACAATCACAATCACACACACACACACACACTCACTCGCACACTCACTCACTCACTCACTCACTCACTCACTCACTCACTCACTCACTCACTCACTCACTCACTCACTCACTCACTCACTCACTCACTCACTCACTCACTCACTCACTCACTCACTCACTCACTCACTCACTCACTCACTCACTCACTCACTCACTCACTCACTCACTCACTCACTCACTCACTCACTCACTCACTCACTCACTCACTCACTCACTCACTCACTCACTCACTCACTCACTCACTCACTCACTCACTCACTCACTCACTCACTCACTCACTCACTCACTCACTCACTCACTCACTCACTCACTCACTCACTCACTCACTCACTCACTCACTCACTCACTCACTCACTCACTCACTCACTCACTCACTCACTCACTCACTCACTCACTCACTCACTCACTCACTCACTCACTCACTCACTCACTCACTCACTCACTCACTCACTCACTCACTCACTCACTCACTCACTCACTCACTCACTCACTCACTCACTCACTCACTCACTCACTCACTCACTCACTCACTCACTCACTCACTCACTCACTCACTCACTCACTCACTCACTCACTCACTCACTCACTCACTCACTCACTCACTCACTCACTCACTCACTCACTCACTCACTCACTCACTCACTCACTCACTCACTCACTCACTCACTCACTCACTCACTCACTCACTCACTCACTCACTCACTCACTCACTCACTCACTCACTCACTCACTCACTCACTCACTCACTCACTCACTCACTCACTCACTCACTCACTCACTCACTCACTCACTCACTCACTCACTCACTCACTCACTCACTCACTCACTCACTCACTCACTCACTCACTCACTCACTCACTCACTCACTCACTCACTCACTCACTCACTCACTCACTCACTCACTCACTCACTCACTCACTCACTCACTCACTCACTCACTCACTCACTCACTCACTCACTCACTCACTCACTCACTCACTCACTCACTCACTCACTCACTCACTCACTCACTCACTCACTCACTCACTCACTCACTCACTCACTCACTCACTCACTCACTCACTCACTCACTCACTCACTCACTCACTCACTCACTCACTCACTCACTCACTCACTCACTCACTCACTCACTCACTCACTCACTCACTCACTCACTCACTCACTCACTCACTCACTCACTCACTCACTCACTCACTCACTCACTCACTCACTCACTCACTCACTCACTCACTCACTCACTCACTCACTCACTCACTCACTCACTCACTCACTCACTCACTCACTCACTCACTCACTCACTCACTCACTCACTCACTCACTCACTCACTCACTCACTCACTCACTCACTCACTCACTCACTCACTCACTCACTCACTCACTCACTCACTCACTCACTCACTCACTCACTCACTCACTCACTCACTCACTCACTCACTCACTCACTCACTCACTCACTCACTCACTCACTCACTCACTCACTCACTCACTCACTCACTCACTCACTCACTCACTCACTCACTCACTCACTCACTCACTCACTCACTCACTCACTCACTCACTCACTCACTCACTCACTCACTCACTCACTCACTCACTCACTCACTCACTCACTCACTCACTCACTCACTCACTCACTCACTCACTCACTCACTCACTCACTCACTCACTCACTCACTCACTCACTCACTCACTCACTCACTCACTCACTCACTCACTCACTCACTCACTCACTCACTCACTCACTCACTCACTCACTCACTCACTCACTCACTCACTCACTCACTCACTCACTCACTCACTCACTCACTCACTCACTCACTCACTCACTCACTCACTCACTCACTCACTCACTCACTCACTCACTCACTCACTCACTCACTCACTCACTCACTCACTCACTCACTCACTCACTCACTCACTCACTCACTCACTCACTCACTCACTCACTCACTCACTCACTCACTCACTCACTCACTCACTCACTCACTCACTCACTCACTCACTCACTCACTCACTCACTCACTCACTCACTCACTCACTCACTCACTCACTCACTCACTCACTCACTCACTCACTCACTCACTCACTCACTCACTCACTCACTCACTCACTCACTCACTCACTCACTCACTCACTCACTCACTCACTCACTCACTCACTCACTCACTCACTCACTCACTCACTCACTCACTCACTCACTCACTCACTCACTCACTCACTCACTCACTCACTCACTCACTCACTCACTCACTCACTCACTCACTCACTCACTCACTCACTCACTCACTCACTCACTCACTCACTCACTCACTCACTCACTCACTCACTCACTCACTCACTCACTCACTCACTCACTCACTCACTCACTCACTCACTCACTCACTCACTCACTCACTCACTCACTCACTCACTCACTCACTCACTCACTCACTCACTCACTCACTCACTCACTCACTCACTCACTCACTCACTCACTCACTCACTCACTCACTCACTCACTCACTCACTCACTCACTCACTCACTCACTCACTCACTCACTCACTCACTCACTCACTCACTCACTCACTCACTCACTCACTCACTCACTCACTCACTCACTCACTCACTCACTCACTCACTCACTCACTCACTCACTCACTCACTCACTCACTCACTCACTCACTCACTCACTCACTCACTCACTCACTCACTCACTCACTCACTCACTCACTCACTCACTCACTCACTCACTCACTCACTCACTCACTCACTCACTCACTCACTCACTCACTCACTCACTCACTCACTCACTCACTCACTCACTCACTCACTCACTCACTCACTCACTCACTCACTCACTCACTCACTCACTCACTCACTCACTCACTCACTCACTCACTCACTCACTCACTCACTCACTCACTCACTCACTCACTCACTCACTCACTCACTCACTCACTCACTCACTCACTCACTCACTCACTCACTCACTCACTCACTCACTCACTCACTCACTCACTCACTCACTCACTCACTCACTCACTCACTCACTCACTCACTCACTCACTCACTCACTCACTCACTCACTCACTCACTCACTCACTCACTCACTCACTCACTCACTCACTCACTCACTCACTCACTCACTCACTCACTCACTCACTCACTCACTCACTCACTCACTCACTCACTCACTCACTCACTCACTCACTCACTCACTCACTCACTCACTCACTCACTCACTCACTCACTCACTCACTCACTCACTCACTCACTCACTCACTCACTCACTCACTCACTCACTCACTCACTCACTCACTCACTCACTCACTCACTCACTCACTCACTCACTCACTCACTCACTCACTCACTCACTCACTCACTCACTCACTCACTCACTCACTCACTCACTCACTCACTCACTCACTCACTCACTCACTCACTCACTCACTCACTCACTCACTCACTCACTCACTCACTCACTCACTCACTCACTCACTCACTCACTCACTCACTCACTCACTCACTCACTCACTCACTCACTCACTCACTCACTCACTCACTCACTCACTCACTCACTCACTCACTCACTCACTCACTCACTCACTCACTCACTCACTCACTCACTCACTCACTCACTCACTCACTCACTCACTCACTCACTCACTCACTCACTCACTCACTCACTCACTCACTCACTCACTCACTCACTCACTCACTCACTCACTCACTCACTCACTCACTCACTCACTCACTCACTCACTCACTCACTCACTCACTCACTCACTCACTCACTCACTCACTCACTCACTCACTCACTCACTCACTCACTCACTCACTCACTCACTCACTCACTCACTCACTCACTCACTCACTCACTCACTCACTCACTCACTCACTCACTCACTCACTCACTCACTCACTCACTCACTCACTCACTCACTCACTCACTCACTCACTCACTCACTCACTCACTCACTCACTCACTCACTCACTCACTCACTCACTCACTCACTCACTCACTCACTCACTCACTCACTCACTCACTCACTCACTCACTCACTCACTCACTCACTCACTCACTCACTCACTCACTCACTCACTCACTCACTCACTCACTCACTCACTCACTCACTCACTCACTCACTCACTCACTCACTCACTCACTCACTCACTCACTCACTCACTCACTCACTCACTCACTCACTCACTCACTCACTCACTCACTCACTCACTCACTCACTCACTCACTCACTCACTCACTCACTCACTCACTCACTCACTCACTCACTCACTCACTCACTCACTCACTCACTCACTCACTCACTCACTCACTCACTCACTCACTCACTCACTCACTCACTCACTCACTCACTCACTCACTCACTCACTCACTCACTCACTCACTCACTCACTCACTCACTCACTCACTCACTCACTCACTCACTCACTCACTCACTCACTCACTCACTCACTCACTCACTCACTCACTCACTCACTCACTCACTCACTCACTCACTCACTCACTCACTCACTCACTCACTCACTCACTCACTCACTCACTCACTCACTCACTCACTCACTCACTCACTCACTCACTCACTCACTCACTCACTCACTCACTCACTCACTCACTCACTCACTCACTCACTCACTCACTCACTCACTCACTCACTCACTCACTCACTCACTCACTCACTCACTCACTCACTCACTCACTCACTCACTCACTCACTCACTCACTCACTCACTCACTCACTCACTCACTCACTCACTCACTCACTCACTCACTCACACACACACACACACACACACGCACGCACGCACGCACGCACACCCAATCTCACACTTGCTCACGTGCACACACACTCACTCTCGCACACTCACTCACACATACTCTCACTCGCACACTCACGCAGGCACACACACTCGCTGAGGTCGCTGACCTTGTTTTTTCCTCCAGACCATCCGCCAAAATCCTCCATGGTCTCAACAAGCTCATCACACATTCTCTCAGAGAATGCTGGAAACCAGTAGACGTCTGGACAGGGCTGAAACACACACACACACACACACACTCCAGTTTAACTCTTTAAAGCCTGACATATGAAATAACAGTCAGAAAAATCTAATGTCTTCAAATAGAGCAGTTTATTGAACTTTTAGACGAATATTAAAGAAAAGCTAAAGCAAAAGTTTGCAAATGTGTTTTTATGTTTTATATCATATTTGATCAATCAGGGCTTTATGGCTCATATAGTCTGATCTAGTGAGAATATGAAGAAAAAAATAGCTTCTCATGCTTGTAATGCAAATCAATGAGATCTTTCTAACAGTAGAGCAGATACTGACATAAAATGATCTAAATATCAGTCGTCGCTCTATATCTCCAGTAATCTGTCTCAGTGAGATGAGATTGAAATGCTCCAAACATATAATGCAGTGATTGAGAGCTGAAGAAATAACGGCTCCTCAGAAGATGTGAGATGTTCTGGAGGCTTGTGAAGATCATTCCTCCGCTGAGGAACAGTGAAAGTAAAGCTTCTGGAAACAAACGCTCCTCAAAAGATCCTGAGGATCAGATTTGAGACTCTAAAACATGATTGATGGAGAATCAAGTAAAGCTGAGCTGCTTCAGTCCAGTAAGTGTTCATCTGGAGATATTACTGCAGTTATTCTGACCTTTACTTGATCAAAATCAGTCAAGACTTGACACGAGAAGCTCCAGCTGAAGCCATTACACTAAAAGAGCTTTGACTTGATAAAAAAAGTCTAAAGTATTAATCAATAGGTTGTGTGGTTTTTCACCAAAGTTTTGATCATGTTGATCACTTAGAAGCTGTTTTGCGCATTAAATATTTCTGCATCAAATATTATTCTGTACAGGCTTTAAAGGGTTAAGCAATGGATGCATTGTTACATCATTTGATTAGCTTGTGTCGTTCTAAAACCTGCACTTTTTCACAAAATATCAAACCCATTTGTAATACAGTCTGAATTGAAAGATATGTGGAAGGATGTGTTGTAAACAGCATTTTGTTTACGTATTTATGCATTTGTTTATGCCCTTTCATCAGTAATCAGTTTTTAGCACCACTTTTTAACTTTGCCCTTTGCTGTACTTACTTCTGTCAAGCATGAAACTCCTAATTTATGTTAACTGCTCTGAAATCTGTAGCACCGATGTAATATCTATCGCAGATCTCTGCTGGAGAAGGAGTTTCAGCTCGTTGAATGTCTGTCCTGCCAGAGCAGGTCTGGGATTCATTTGCGTAAAACAAACTGCAAATTGTCCATAACATGCTGTAAGAAGTGCCTTGATTCACTTTGTTAAAATGGACGGAAATCCATCCACTAATTGATTGCTGCATATTCAGTAACAAAGCTTCTGATTGGTTTACTTGTGCTCTGATTGCTATTTATGTTCGGCTTTGATGCATTTCCCGCCGAGCGTTTCTGAGAGTCAGGTTTCACTGTGAGTTACTGCAGACTCAGTCAGTCAGTCCAGTAGCCCACTGTAAAAGAAAAAAAGAAGAAAGAAAGTGGAATTATTGATTTCAAACAAGACCAAGATCAACAATGGACCCCATTGACTTTCATTGTACAGACTAACTAACTAAGTTCCGGTAACTAAAAAAAAAAAGAATATATATAACAAACTATTATTTTTACTAGTGTTGAAATATACCCTTAATTTACTTAATTTTTTTTTACCATACTTTTCACCATGTGGAACTGACCAAACTTTATAGAAGACTTTTTTAAAGAAAGTAGAATTAAAGAAGTCTACTTTTTTTTTCTATAAAAAAATAAAAAAATAGATAGATAGATAGATAGATAAATAAAATAAAGATCAACACTGGACCCCATTGACTTTCACTGTAAATAAATAAATAATAAAAGGTCAAGAAACCAATACCTTTGTGTGTTATTTGTGTGTTAAAATATACCCTTATTTTACTCAGATTTATCAATACATACTTTGATCATATGGACTGAATGAACAGTATCAGTTACTTTACTGACGTGAGACACCATAAACACTTAATTGGAAATGTGTTTGAACAATGATTTTAATCAGTTAATTTAATAATAAAGTTGGGTTACATGTCACTGAGATGAGAAATACAAATGAACTTGAACTTACAAAAAAAAAAGAAAAAAAGAATTACTGTTATTTTTTTCCTTATTTCTCTACTTTAGTTTGTCATGTTAACTGCACTAACAGCAGTGAGTTTGGGCAGCTGTGCTCTGCTGTAATCGCGTGTATCGCGTGTATCCGCGGTTAGATGGCAGCAGTCAGCCGTCTTTGCGCATGTCATTGTGTCTGAATTCACTAGATTGTGAGGGGAAAGTCATTTAGAAATCCACGAGAAATAACAGCAGAGAAAAGGAAAGCGCGCATTGAAGGACAGAGAGCGACATCAGGAAGAGGAGGAGCGCTGATCAGGTGAGATGACTGCAGGTAGCACAGTACCTTTCTTTAACTATCAGTTTCTTTTTCTCTTTTTTTTGTGGTCTTTTAGAAATTAATTCTTACCGGTTTATGTAATTAATCTACTAACATTGACATGAATCACATGAGAATTCCGTCATTTCTCTCATATCTCAAACTATGTGTTGTTTAATATTCTCTGGCAAATGACAGTGACTGAAAACATAAATAAGATAAAATAAATAAGCTTTTTTTTAGCTAAAGCTAATTTTCTGACGCTTACTTGATAAAAACCAGTCAAGATCTGACATGAGAAGCTCCAGCTACAGTTACACTAAAAGAGCTTTTACTGGATAAACAACTTTAAACTATCAATCAGAGACAGAAGACATGCAGGAGATTGAGTGCGAAACAGCAGAGTTTGATCATGATCATCATTTAGAGACAGAAATTACATCAAATATGATACAGTAGCTTTATAGGGTTAAAGAGTCACATCAGATCTTCAGTCTCACCTGCTCAACGAAGTTCTCATCGTCCTCAAAAATCTTGGAGTAATCCTCATGGATGTATTTCTCTCTCCAGTCCTGAGATCACACACACACACACACACACACAGAGAGAGAGAGAGAGACACATACACACAGAGAGAGAGAGAGAGAGAGAGAGAGACA